CGCCGTGAAGACTTTTTGCACAGGGCGCCTAATTGCCTAAGGCCGGCCCTGGCTGTATGTATTGGTCAGCCAAGTCTACTCCCCCTATAAACTTGCTGTAGTCTACAATGGACTTTGGCTTTTCCAGATGCTCAGTGCTACCTCTCACAGACACTGGCACTGTACTTTCATCCTGCATCGTAGACAGCATGTATACATCTTTCCTATCTCTGAAGCGAAGCGCAAGCAACTCATCCTGGCGGAGAGCTGAAGAGGAACCTCTACTGCTTCTGCCTCTTGCCAGGGCTTGGGGGCTCCTGTGATTCTTCCTCACTGTGCCACAGGTAGGGTTTCAAAACAATATACATTTTTAAATAATTCTATACTGGTATAATAATTGTCAACCCATAGCCTATAGCACTTATTCAGTGTCACGGTTCTCGCCGCAGCAAACAGATGGCCAGACGTAGTCACCCATGGAGTTCCCAACAAGGGACTTGAACCGGGGAACTTCGCAGTCCTGGTCCTGCTTCCTTCCTCTGAGCCACAGCAGCTTTTGTATTCCACATGTCATTCTGGTCCTGTTCATCCTGGCATGTCTATTACTCTGGGGGCTGTACCTTGACTTTGGATGTGCTTCACCTGACCCTGATCAGACATTAGCAGGGTATTTAAACTCAGCCTTGCCCTGTGATCAGCATCAAGTCTTTGATCCTGTTGTGTGCTTTGTACCAGTGTTCCTGTCATTTGAGCTGCTACTTGTTATTGACCCCGGCTTCTGACTATGTTTACTCTGACCTCTGGCATCCCTTGACTTCGGCTACTCCTCGTTGTTCCTGTCTTCTGGCATCCTTTGACCTCGGCTATCCTTTGACGATCCTGCTGTTTGAGTCCTTGCCTGTCCTGCGACTTGGTACTTCATCCTGCACAGCCCCCGTGCACAGACCCACAGGCCGGGTGAATTCTTACCTGACCACCTTGGCCTGTGGCTATCTGCAAGGGTGAGCAACATATCTGCGCTACAGACTCCCAACCCAGGTAAGACCCTGACATTCAGCAAGGGAAGGATTAGATCCCAAACAATCTTGTCATTTGTACCCATAGAATCAGGGCATCCTGGTAGGTCAAGATGGCTATCCTTCCCCTGGTAAATGCGAAACGCCCATGTGTAACCAGCACAAGATTCGCATAATTTATAAAATTTAACGCCATATCGGGACCGCTTAGATGGAATATATTGCTTAAAAAGCAGTCGACCTTTGAATTTCATAAGGGACTCGTCAATTGAAATATCTTTATCGGGGACATAATTTTCAGAAAAATTTGTCTGACAGGAGTTGGATAAAGGGCCGAATTTTATAGAGCCTGTCAAACAGTGGGTCATCATTAAAATGAAGGCATAGCAGCAGTTGCAGGTCGCGATCCCTCAACATAACCTCAGGGAAAAGAGGGGTAGCCAGGATGCGTTGCTTGCTCCAGTAGGACCTGATACTGGGATTTTTAACAATACCCATCATTAGGGTTAAAGCCCAAAACCGCTTCATCTCTGTGACATCCGTGGGTCTCCACATATTCCTGCGACCATGATGGGACCCCGGATGTGCAGAGAGATACTGCATAGCAAACAAATTTGTTTGCTGAGCCATGAGCTCAAATATATTGTCTGACATTAAGAGCTCAAAAAAACGAATTGGCTCGCAGTCGTCCACTGTTACAGTGATGCCAGGTGTAACAGTGAACGGCGGTATTTCTGGGGCCATCATGTTTGAAGGCACCCAGTCTCCGTCTGGCATTGGGCTTGCTGAGCGTCCTCTTGTGAGTGGTGGTGGGGCACCATCACTTGAGGTCTCACTCAGAGGCTCAATTTTTAGAGGCAGTGATAGTGTCACTGTCTTGCAGAGTGTCTCTATGACTGCCTGCCAGAATGGCATACGTCTCCTCGGCTGAGTAGCGACGTGCCATTCTAGGGGGACAAATTAATTTAATTTATATACTAAGGGGGTAATTAATTATCTACCTGCCTAACACCCGCCCTCAAAAAATAATATAAATGTACTGATCACAGTATAGGCAGCTGCAATCAGTACACCGAAAGGGTTATTTTTAGATCTATAAAAATAACCCTAAAAAAAAGGTCAGTCTGATCAGAGAGCCCTCTGATCACAGTGATCACTGATACAGTACTGTACAGTAGCTATACTGTACAGTATAGTGATCATGGCAGCGGGGAAAGGGTTAAGGGAGATTTGGGTTGCTGCGCTGACCCCAAAAAATATAGTACTAAATGCCCTAATCAGGCTGATAACAGTTAAATGCTGTGATCAGCACTGAAAGGGTTAAATAAAGATTATAAAGGAGGGAGGGGGGAGAAGATGCGAGGGGGAGAAGGTTATAGGGGAGAAGATTACACAGTGAGAATGAGGGGGAAGATGGGGAGGGAAGATTATAGAGGTAAGGGGAGAAGGTTACACAGGGAGGGAGGGTTACAGGAGAAAGGTGGTACAGGGAGGAGGGAGAAGATTGGAGGAGGGGAGAGAAAGAAGATTATGGGAGAGCGAAGATTATGGGGAGAAAAGAAGAAAGGTATTGCAGAGAGAAAGGTGTAGGGGAGAAGAAAGAAAGGTGTGGGGGGGAGAAAAGAAAAAAAGATTATAGGAGGAGAAAGATTATGGGGGGAGAAGAAGAGATTACAGGGACGGGGGGAGAAGAAGAGGAGAACATGAGGGTGGGAGATAAGAACATAGGGGAGGGAGAGACCACTAAAGAAGGGAGGGGACGGTGGAGAGACCACTAATGGAAAGTCGGGGAGAAAATGAGACCACTAAGGGAGGTGGGGGGGAGAGGAGAGACCACTTAGGGGCAGGGGAGATCTCTAAGGAATGGAAGGGAGAGCTCTATAGGACAGGGGGCAGGACAGGGAGCTCTTTCACACCGCGCGCGCGCACACACACACACACACACACACACACACACAATGCATCCCTATACACACAGAAACACAACATGCTTCCCTTACACACAGAAACACACAATGCAACCCTTACACATAAAGACAATGCATCCTTTTCACATATACACAGAAACACACAATACATCCCTTACACACACATGCAAACACACACTGCTTCTCTTACACACACACAGAAACACAATGCACCCCTTACAGACAAACACACTTTGCATCCCTTATGCATACAAACACAGATTCACACAATGCATCCCTTACACACAACAAGAAACACACAATACATCCGTTATACACAAACACTCACTGCTTTCTGTCCCTTACACAAAAACACACTGCTTCCACCACACACAAACACACTGCATCACCTACACAAACTGGTATCCCTATACACTACATTCCATAAGCACACACATTAGATCCTCTACAGCAGGGGTTCTCAACCCAGTCCTCAAGGACCCTCTACCAGTCCAGGATTTAGGGAATACCATGTTGTGTCTAAAGTGTTTGTTCCGCCCCACTAAAAAAAACACAGACACAGCAGGGTAATCCCTAAATCCTGGACAGTGCGGGGGTCCTTGAGAACTGGGTTGAGAACCCCTGCACTACAGTAACACATAACACATCCCCTACACACTCTACTCCCTGTGAGCGAACTCATGGGTGGAACATGTAGGTGGACTTATGGGTGGGCTTTATGGGCATACTCACCGTCAGGCTCTGGGGCCCAGACCTTGAGCTATGTAAGAGGCCCCAAAAAATGGAGCTGCTTCCCGTTTTCCCAGAACATTGAATTTTGTGACCACAGTTACAAACATCCTCCAGAGATCCTGTTCTACACCAGACCAGTGGAGCCAGACTGCAGCCAGAGCCCATCACCATCCTCATCTGAATGTAAGTAGGCAATCTAGTATGTTATTAGTGACACTAATCTCTAATTTACCTCACATTAAATGGACACTATAGTCCCCAGAACCACTGCAGCTTAATAAAGTTGTTCTGGTGTCTATAGTTTGTCCCTGCAGGCTTTTTAATGTAAACACACACTGTGTGCAGCACTGGCACTAGTTCATATGGCAGATCATATGGGTGGGGCATTGCGATGTCTCGGGGAGGGGGGGCGGCAAATCTTTCTTTTGCCTAGGGCAGCAAAGATCCTTGCACCGGCCCTGGTTGTAAATTAGTGAACCACCCAAAAGAAGTTGTATATACTCAGTAATAAATAGGCACCGGCCCTGACTGCTGAATATACTAGATTGTTGTAGATTTGATGCTCACAGCACTATATAGTGTATACATTAAACACAGACATTAGCCCTCCGAGTAGCATTTCATGTGTGCCATAGCATTTTAAGATGGAAAGTCTTACTAAAAGTTTTTTGTTTTTTTTTGTATGATTCTTTTTGTACGATTCAGTAATGGAACTTGTTTCGGCTATTGGGCAATCTGCAATCATACCTCTGCAATAATCGGCTTTGAATTTGACTTGCGGTTATGTTAGATTACAGGGTTAGTCCAATCTCCATGACCATTTCTACTTTTAGAAGTGGTCATTGAGCAAGCAATGTATGGGCAGCATCTCTACTTGAAAGAGCAATTTGCACTTTCATGCCGGGGGCTAGCCGCAACCCAGGCACACATTACTAATGTTAATGCTGGGCAAAGATTACATTCGTCGTCAGCACATTGCATTTTGACTCACTGAGCACTCAGCCTGCAAGGGAGCAATTAGCGTGGTGTGGAAAGACCAGAGGTTCAGACCACACACTGCTCCACTTGACCTCTGGGGGTTTAACCACTGCTAGAACATTTTGGTTCACCCTTCCTCCCCCCCCCCACCACCAGGAGACAGGCAAAAATTGAGCACACACAAATACATTGCACACAACTAGCGCACACCCAACTTACACATAGCCAAAATACACATGCATCGGGGTGGGGAGGACAACATAGACTATGGCAGGGCAGAGGGTAAGACAGTCAGGGTTACTCAATAGATTCAAAATTTTAGCAAAATAAGACAGACAAAAAGTTGTGAATTATTCCATATCAGTTTGGAGTTTTTTGCCTCAGTTTTTCTATTCGGATAAGATTCTCATTTTTTTTTGGGCCCTGGGCTCTAGATAGGAGCCTTAATCCAACATGATTTTGTGTGTAAAGATAAGTAGATTAGGCTATTGCTTTAGCCCCTTGGGCAGGTAGATTTGTTTTCATTTCCACACCCCTGTAGCACAAGGCTTAATGCTATCAAAAAAGTTGTAACACTGAGTGACCCTTTAAAATGCTTCATAGAACAGATCACATTTTACTGCATCAATTGACTCAAATAAAACAAGTTTTTAATGACTCACAAACTAGAATAGCCAGCTGTGAAGTATATTTTAGTTTTGATAATTATAACATGGTACACATAAAAGATTATTCACTAAACAGTGATTTTTGGTGAATTGAAAAATAAACTGCAAAAAAAGCAGGCTAAAATAGTCAAATTGGAGAGACACTGAAAAACTACTATTTTTGTCTTTTGCAATTCAGTTTTCAGCCTGCCTACGCCTACTGTTGACATTGCATACATTTTATACAGTGACAAAATAATGCATATGCTTAAAAAAAATAAAAGTATAAAAAGAAGGTAGTCAGTTGAACTGTCATTTCTTCCTATGTTGCTGTTCTTTAAATCTTCACTGTGGGATCACAGGCGACCTGCAGGTTGGTAAACAGTTTTTGAACCCAGAACGTAAAGGAAATATAATCCATAAGTAAAGCTACAAGTGGTTTGCAATAGCTTCCTTTATGTTGATTGCAGGAGTGGGGCCCATATGAGTCCAAATGTACCCCTTTTCAGGTCTGGTGGGCAAGGTGGGGAAGGGGGAAGAACGAGATTTGAAATATTCCGAAGGAGCATGACACACAAAGTCCAGACATTCCATTTTCCTGGGGAGATCTTCATCTGGTCCTAGAGAAGACAAAGCAATTAACCACCTTCAAGAAGCTGAAGTGGTCTGGGTGCCTAGAGTGTCCCTTTAAGAAGAAATGGACGCTGTCGCCGCTTTTAGTGGCCTCCCGGCTAACCCTTCCTTGTACTGCACTGCAGCAAGGAACAGAAGCAAAAAGGCAGTAGTTCCAGAGACTCAAATTAAGAGTTAAACCATTGCCAAATCCCTGAATGTAAGAAGGTGCCCAGACACTCCTGCCTCCATAACAACTTAAATTAATTTGAGTTGTGTTGTTGGAAGTGTTCCTTTAAAACCCACCAATGAGTAGGGTATTTGACCATTTCAGTGATATTACACTTACTTTAATTACCTACTATATTACACCTATTGTGTGCCCTGTATTTATCCACTGTAAATTTATATTTATCTTTCTGGGCAGATCGACTGCTAATAACATCTATTAGTTTATTCCACTCTAGTGGTTCTGCAAAGAACAAAAGAAATCTATAAAATGTGCATAGTTTGAGTATCTCTGAAGATACTTGACTTTTTGTCTTCACATGTAAAGTATGTGGTTTCAAAGAGAAGAGTGGCAGAATTTAATATAAGGAAAACAGTCACTTTTTAGATAATTTTTTTTAAAATGTACAACATAAATAATGGAAGCTTTCACTTTTCAGAACAATTTGATAAACATTCCCCATTGTGCCAACTCCTGCAATCTGATCTTAGCAGGCTCGTATTTGGTTGGAAATATATGTGCAGTGTGTAATTTTGTGACATTTTTAAAATTAGTTCTTCACAGAATTCCTGTAATTTGCTAAACACACCAATACAATTTTGATACAAACCTATTATATAAGATGCTGGATCAAAGCAGTCCTGTGGACTTGACAGAGTAGGGATCAGCCATGTCAGAGCCGCACTCTTCTCACAGTACTGATCCTGAACGAAACCTCTGATCTGGGCATAGTATGTTTTACCATCATCTTCATCAGTAACTGAAACAACATCACCGACCTGATAGTACAAACCCTACAGCAAACAGTGAACAAGGATTAAATTACAGAAAGCACAGACATCTTAACATTGAAAGCACACAAAATTATTCCACTTTCTTTACTCAACATTTTTATGTGGTATGCAGTGCATCTCACTGATCAAGAATTTACCCTCAGCCCAAAGGCATAATTGTTTAAGTAAATTAACCCAGCCAGTAAGGGGATCAAGTACATTCTCATATAGAATATAATTTGAATATGTTGTCTGTCTGAGGAGACCAGAAGATTTTCTCTTATGCGACCAGTTTTGTCTGCCACTAGTTTTTGCTCTGTGTCATTTTAACGCATTCAGCTGAGTGGGACTACAAGTAACAAAGTAAGACATGCAAACTAGAAGCTTCTTCCATACCAAATAAACAGATGGGGAGGTTAAAATTCCTAAGATAAAATAAGAATATTAATGTGAATACCATATTAAAAGGAACAGTGCAAGACAAGTGGATACATTAGATGAGGTGAGAGAGAAAAAAAAGACAGGAAAAAAAAAAAAATAAGTATACTAATTAGAAATGTAGGAAAACAGTGTGAAGGAAGATACACTGGTGGTGGTGGCTATGGGAATGTAGCAGGGGACAGACTGAGAAGAGACAAAAAAGTAAGCAGAGCGTGGAATATTACAGCATTTGTTCACATTACAACATCTGTATAATATATATCTGTACAGAAATCCAAATTATCTTTAATAAAATAAGAACCAAAATAACATTCCGCTCTCAGTTAATATACTGAATGTGAATTACATCAAAAACATACCTTATGGAAAATGGACTCGCTGGTTACTATTGTAGATACAGCTTCTGGGGCTTTAATCGGCTAGAATTAAAATGACAACAAAAAAATTGTTCTAGACATACAGATAACGTTACAGACATACACTACAATGATTGGCATATACATCTTTAAATATATAATAATTTATGCTCAATAAATTATTTTTTTTGCTTGTAACGTACAATGAGCAGAGAGATAAAAAAGGGGATTTCTTGCACCCTAACCTATGCACTTTACATGACCAAAAGACCCAGTGCTTTAAGAATCCTTTTATATCAGGTCTGTGAAATGTAGTCACTAGAGTTTTACACTAATAACATACATGTATTTATGAACATAACATTTTTGAAAATTAAGTAGATAGCTAATATTTTGCTTACATTTTTCAGTTTAAATATGTGACGCCTGCCTTTTCCTTTGGTGGAAACCTTTTTTTCAACAGCTGGTGCTGATTTATATTTGGTGTTTCTCAGACGGGCAGATCTTCTGTGGATTTCCTGTTTAGACTGAATGAATAGCCATTTATATGACAATAGCACTATTGTAACAAAACATTTAACCATTCATTCTTGCCATACACGTTTCTGCATACAGTCCCTACCCTACACTTACAGCTCAGACACACCTGCTTACTGCTGCCCCCGTTGCTTTGTTGTGAAGTTGAGGTGCTTGCGAAAATTGCTCCGCTGAAGGTGCTGCTCCCACCAGTGCTGGGTCCGTAACTGCTACTTTTCCCAGTGCAGTTATTGCAAAGAATCTCTCCTTGGTTCCCCTTCTTCCACATGGAAGAAGAATTGGTTTTGCACATGCTGCATGTTGGCTTCAATCCCAGAGGCATCTGTGGGAACCAGCATATCAAACATTCTTAAACAAGCAGCACTTTGGTACTAATAAACAAACATGACTTTTGGGACAATAAAAAAAGCACTGAGTATTGTTCCAACTTTTCCACTGCCAGATTAATGACAAGAGGCATTCAAATATCTCCAGTAGAAAAATAAACTATTAGTCTAAATCAGGCCTGCACAACATGCGGCCACCTAGATCTTTTGAACTACAACTCCCATGATTCCCTGGCCATTTGTTTCATTCAAAGAAACATGGGTGTTGGCTATCTAAAATATCTGGGGGGAGGTGCAGCCCTGGTCTAAATTAATGATGACATTAAAGTACACCTAAAAAAAATATATATATGTATGTTAATTCATGGTTGAAATAAGATTTTTGTTTATACAATGACAAAGCAAAGTGAGCAGTACTAAGCAATTACACAAATACACATTTGTAAAAAGGTTTAAGGACCACTAGAGTCATCCAGACCACTTCATCTCAATGAAGTTGTCTGGGGTCTGGTAGTTTCAACCCTTTAATGTAAACATTGCAGATTTATAAAAACGGCAATGTTTACTTTAAAGAAGGGTTAAGGAAGCATCTAGTGACTGTCCATGTGTCTACATAACCAAGTTAAACTAGCATAATTTGATTGGAAGAGAGCAGATGTGCCTTCCAATCCTTCACTATGAGAAAAATTTAATTTGATTAGATCGCACGTGACGTCTGCATGCTTGCCATCATCACCAGAAACGGAACTGGAGGCTGCAGCAGAAGAGTCCCGGCGTTGAAAAAAAAGTAGAGTAATATTTATTTAGATCCATTTTTTACAGGGGGGTGCATAGTCTGTACATTGCAAGAAGGGAGCAATGTACAGGACTATAGTTTTCAGGACTATAGTTTCCCTTTCATGTTTAGAACATGGATCAAATATAGACCCCCAGCTGATTTTCCCATAAAGCAGCATTCACTCTGGAGTTTTTCTAAAAGTTAGAAAACTTTGTGAAAAACACTGTTCAAATTACATTGATTTATCAAAACAATAAAAAAAAAAAAAAACACAACAAATTAGTTCATATTATATATAAAGCAATATTAGGCAAAATGGGTTGAGGGGCCACACACTACTATTTCCTATCATCTGTTGTGTGTGACAGCTAAAGATCAAATACTGAAGATTAAAGGACCACTATAGTGCCAGGAAAACATACTCGTTTTCCTGGCACTATAGTGCCCTGAGGGTGCCCCCACCCTCAGGGTCCCACTCCCGCCCGGCTCTGGAAGGGGGAAAGGGGTAAAAACTTACCTTTTTCCAGCCAGCTGGGCGGAGAGCTCTCCTCCTCCTCTCCGCCTCGTAGCTCACCGCTGAATGCGCCGCACGCGGCAAGAGCTGCGCCAAGATTCAGTCAAGTCTCATAGGAAAGCATTTACAATGCTTTCCTATGGGATGCTAGCGTGCTCTCACTGTGAAAATCACAGTGAGAAATAGCCTCTAGTGGCTGTCAATGAGACAGCCACTAGAGGATTAGGGGGAAGGCTTAACCCATTCATAATTATAGCGGTTTCTCTGAAACTGCTATAATTATGAAAAAATGGGTTAACCCTAGAAGGACCTGGCACCCAGACCACTTCATTAAGCTGAAGTGGTCTGGGTGCCTAGAGTGGTCCTTTAAGCAATTGTCTATAGGACCTTGTTTTTTTTTTTTTTATTGGCTCCTGGGCGAATAAGAGATACATAGTGCGAGAGAGAGAAGATAAATATATGTATTTTCCCCTCTGCCCACCAGCATGTAAGCATATACGTCACTTTGAGGCATAAATGCGAACATATGACCACAAAAGTGACTTTTCCACTTTATAACCAGTGGAGTAATAAAAAATGTAACCTTTTATTCATACTAATCATATAGTGTTCAAACCAGTCTGGATGCAAAATTGGACCACATGTCATTTTAGTGGAACTGCAATGTTTACATTGGACTACAAAGACAGCTACTAGTGGTAGAGTACCAGACAGTCACTAGAGGTGCTTTTGGGAATTTTTGCTGGACTCTGGGTCTCCTAAATTATGCTGGACATCCAGCGTCAGTGAAATTCCCACAGGAAAACATTGAGTGTGCACAGCAGGAAGTGGAGCAATGACCTAGCTCGAGGAAACATCGGTGCTGTAATCGGGTGAGTAAACAGTTTTTGCACAAGGGAGGAGGGGACCAGAGGGCACTATAGAATTAGGAATACAACTTTGCATTCCCAACACTATAGTATCCCTTTAAGCATTAAACAAGATATTTGACACAGGATATATACTTGGAAAAATTAAGATTATCAACAAATGGTTATCCTAAGGAATGCAGGAAATAATCTGAAAATTTATAGTAAAGGAAACCGTTAAAGGAAAACTATCAGCACTGCAATCTCCTCTCAGAGATTAGTGTTACAATTCTGTAACACTCAACTTGGGTCCACCTCTGCTCCTCCTCAGCTCTTCGTTGATTTGCCATACTTGGGTACACTTCCCCAAGCAGGTCAAGCCTCCTCCACGATGTCAACACACTGGCTTTGTTGCAAGCGTGCCGTATCTGAACAGAGTGACATCATGACACTCGGCTCCTATACATTTAACCAGCACTAGCTAGGGAATTACCATAGCAACCACAGCGGGAGGTCTTCTCTGCTCTCCCTGTTTCTCAATTCCTCTGTGTTGAGTTTCTGGATGGAAGAAAAACCTATTATTTTTAATGTATTTTTTAAATTATCCTCTATTTTTGTATATACGTACAATGGTTCTCGTAGCTCCACAACAGCGATTACAAGCGTGTCAGAGTACATAACATTACAAGTTGCATAAAATACACCCAAAAAAACCTTTTTAAATAGGGCTTTCTTCTAATTTATACACTTACTATCAAAATGTATAATGCTAAAATCATTGTGGGCATCATAGGTTCCCTTTAAATAAAAGAACTGTAGGTGTTTACATTTCTAAATATTTAGTAAGCTATAGAAATGCTGGCTCCTGACTGCCTTCTTTTATTATTATTATTTTACTTCAGCATTCACCATTTTACTGTTATTTATGTAACATACTGGATTATGGGATTATTAGCTGTAAAATGCCAACCTAGCCCAGTCTGTATTGAGGAACCTGGGAGCCATAACCCTCCAAGGACTTGCTGCCACTATCAAACCAATGCTGTTATAGTCTGTAGCTGCTAAACAGGAGGATATTCCAGTTATAATGAATACACAATTAAACAGCAGCTCCCTCTCTATAAAGCTCCTGCCAGCTCTCTGCCTCTGTATTAGCAGCTAGCTATGGGTTACTCACAGCTCCAGTGTTATCATTCCCAGATGTAAACACAGGGATCAGGAACTGCATAAACCACATCCGGGTCAAGCATGAAACAGAGCACACAGTGCCTCTCTGCTGATTGGATAACAGCACACTGCCCTCCAGCTACTCAACCAATGGATGGAAGGCAACGGCGAGAACCAATCAGACAGAAGCATTCGTTACACTGCGAACACGCACAGTTCTGAGTGACGTCACGCGGGCGTTCTATTTTGGAATGTTGTGTGGTTCTCAGAACGTTCGCGCTGTTTTTACATCTGGAGATTCTATTGGGCTGTGATTGGAGAGCTCATTCACTAAACAGGGATTGGAAAGCTCGGGCTGAAATAACTGCAGCCGAGTTGGAGATTTATTTATTATATTTTATTTTTTTTCCTTGTCAGATATATTTGTCTACATTTTACAGTTTAGTTTTCTGGGCACTATGATTTACAATAATGAGAAAAACACACAATGTGCTAGAACAAGGTTTAGGTGATGCTACCCCACTATTCCTTTCAAACACAACATTGTATAGTGCAGCGCTAAACCATACAGCATGGGACGAGATAAGAAGAAATATACAATAGTACAATATCGCTTATAATTTGTATTAGTAAAGCAAAATGTAAAAGAGGAAATGCTCACAATGCTAGAGCATTTTCAACGTTATGGTTCTGAACATACTGGCTTTCTGAGCCTTTAAAGGGACACTCCAGTGCCAGGAAAACAAACCGTTTTCCTGGCACTGCAGGTCCCCTCTCCCTCCCACCACCCATCCGATGTTGCTGAAGGGGTGTAAATCCCTTCAGTGACTGACCTGAGATCCCCGCCGATGTCCCTGGGTGGTGGTTTCGGGTCCGGCCACGCTCCTCCCCTGCCGATGTCATCCGATGGGGGAGACCGATTGCGCATTAGCAGCCGCCGGCAGGGGAGACCTAATGCGTATGTGCAGCAATGGCGCGCGTGCACGCATTAGACCTCTCCGTAGGAAAGCATTGAAAATGCTTTCCTATGGGGAATTGAGCAACACTGGAGGTCCTCACACAGCGTGAGTACGTCCAGCGACGCTCTAGCACAGAAAACCTGTGCTAGAAACCAGGAAGTGCCCTCTCACTCCGCTAAAGAAGGAGTTAACCCTGCAATGTAATTATTGCAGTTTATGAAAACTGCAATATTTACAGCTGCAGGGTTAAGGGTAGTGGGAGTTGGCACCCAGACGACTCCAATGGGCAGAAGTGGTCTGGTTGCCTGGAGTGTCCCTTAAAGGTAGCAACAGGAACCCTCTTGCTTGTACCCCTTTACAGATTCCAAAAGTGGTATATACATACAGGAGACATAAAATATAGAATAATAGTGCAGGATGTTGTTAAAGGTTGACAACCGGTTGTTTAAAAAGATGTTAACCATGGGGGGAGGGGGGGAGCTAGCACCCAAGATGGCAGGACGTGCTTTACAGTAGCTCTTGCTGACTCAAAGTTATCTTTTAAGTAATCTGCCTTCAACCTGCCACAGGACGATCTATAACAACAGCAGACTACTCTTGCTTCCTGTAGTCACTAATCTAAAGGGATTTGAAGTGCCTGAGCACATCGGATACTCATCGCAACTGACCCTGGGAGTGTCGGCCGGGTGCTGGGAGAGAAGGCCGGTCTCCCGTCCCTGGGTTCGCAACTAAGCACGAACCACTCGGAGCCCTGTTCCAACCCCCTTTGAAACGGCGGGGGATATCCCAGCGCCCACTTGATGTCAGACTGCAACCAGCCTGAGGTGAGGAAAAAAGCAGTACCAAACACAAGAAACTTCAGGACCTCAGACTCACGGCAAAGATGGCGGCTATGAGGGAACATGGTGTCGTGGCCCCCCACAAGGAGAAAATCGAGTGGGCCTTTGAACACTTCTGGTCACAGCTCTTGGTCAAGCTTACAGAACGGACGCAGAGACAAACAGTTATAGATGTCCACCGCAGCACCTGCACCAACCCAACCCTAGAGGCCTGCACCCAAGCCTGCACAAAGGCCGACACAGAAGCGCAATCCCGAGAAGCAGTATAAGAAAGAACAAAGAGGGAGACCGCAGTAGGCACCCCGACTCAGGAGACGCCGCCATGCAACCCGCAGCCGCTTACCTGAACCCCAGTCCAGACGAGGGTGTTGTTACAAGCGCAGCTCACACCCTCGGGCAGTAGGTAACAAGCTGCCCACGAGCAGATCCCGAGTCTTTATCCGGACCATCAACTGCTTGCGGATGTGGGAGAACCCAGGACAGGACTGTACTGGGGACTGGAGCTGGTGGGGTAGCTATGCGGTGAAACAGTCTTTTAACACAGCACCACGAAGGCTGCATGGGTTAGTGGGCATAGGCTGACCACCCTACTTGAGAGCAGGATCGGGCTACTACTTCCTTTAGGCCCCAGGTCTCATGCTTGGCAGTGTAGTATACCCGGAACCATCATCCACCCACCTTACATTTTTAATTGTTGACCAAACTTTTTAGCTCATGTTTTTAGCTTTCCTGTCCTAATGTGTTTTATACCCCACCTCCTATAGACTGTAAGCTCGTTTGAGCAGGGTCCTCTTCACCCTATCGTTCCTGTAAGTTTTCTTGTAATTGTTCCATTTATAGTTACATTTTCCCCTTTGATAATATTGTAAAGCGCTATGGAATATGCTGGTGCTATATAAATCGCAGTAATAATAATAACTAAGGTTAAAATAGCTCAAATGGAAATACATTCTCTATGTAAGCTGTGATTTCAAGTCAGCGAATCTGGCCTTAAGTTTGAAATCGCTTTGAATTCTCACTTTAGTAAATAACCCTGTAAAACTAACAAAAAACTATTTTGTAGCGAATAATTATTATAATTTTTTTCAACTTTTATTATAAAATAGCTATGACTTTACACGAGTTGCTATTTTGGTCCACTAACTGATGCTGGACATCGTCATGCTCTGCATGTCAGCTATTTCCACATAGGCATTAGCACCCATTTGTCGAGGAGGCAGATCCACAACCCAGTGTCGAGGGACAAGCAGAAAAGTGGGACCTAGGGTTAGAGGGGCGTGCCATTGCTGTAACTTGCATCCTGACAGCACCCAAAAGGAATTATTGAGAAACAGAAAACCATATTGCAAAGTTTAGGTAAAAATAGCCAATTTAGAAAACATTCCCACTCCAATCTAGTCACAATTAATCTGTTTAAGCCTTAGTTTTGCAATTTATTTTCTGTTGATTACCATTCTGTGTTAAGTGAATGCTTCCCGAACTGGAAATACAAAACCCTTTTCCCCCTATAAAAATGGCCACTATTGGTTTTTTTTTTTTTGGTAGATATCAGCTCTCCACAGCCAAACAGATAACTGCTTCTCCCAGTTGTGCTCACAGCTTTCAGCAAAGGATTGTACAGTGGATAATAACTGAAAGTACTTTCTTAAAGGATCACCATAGTGTCAGGAAAACAAAGCAATTTTCCTGACACTATAGTGCCCTGAGTGTGCCCCCACCCTCAGGGTCCCCCTCCCGTGGCACTGAAGGGGTTAAAACCCCTTCAGCAGCTTACCTTAATACAGCGCCGGTGACCTCTCCTCCCCCGATGTCAGCTTCCCCGTCTGACGTCAGCATTTCTCAATGCTTTCCTATGGACGCTCTGCACGATGGAGGCATAATATGCCTCCAGCATCGCAGATGCGCCTCTAGTGGCTGTCCGGAAGACAGCCACTAGAGGCGGTCTTAACCCCAAATGTAAACATACCGTGTTTCTCCGAAAATAAGACCGGGTCTTATATTAATTTTAGTCACAAAAAACACACTAGGGCTTATTTTCAGGGTAGGGCTTATTTATTTACGGTACCGGTATGTACATTGAACCCCCCCCTTTAATTAATCCACCCCCCTCTAATTAATCCACCCCCCTCTAATTAATCCAGCCCACCCTTTAATTAATTCACCACCCCTTTAATTAATTCACCCACTCTAATTAATCCAGCCCACCCTTTAATTAATTCACCACCCCTTTAATTAATTCACCCCCTTTAATGAATTCACCCCCCTCTAATTAATCCAGCCCACCCTTTAATTAATTCACCACCCCTTTAATTAATTCACCCCCCTCTAATTAATCCAGTCCACCCTTTAATTAATTCACCACCCCTTTAATTAATTCACCCCCTCTAATTAACCAGCCCCCCCTTTAATTAATTCACCCCCTTTAAGTAATTCACCCCCCTCTAATTAATCCAGCCCACCCTTTAATTAATTCACCCCCTCTAATTAATCCAGCCCACCCTTTAATTAATTCACCCCCCTTTAATTAATTCACCCCCCTCTAATTAATCCAGTCCACCCTTTAATTAATTCACCCCTCTTTAATTAATTCACCCCTCTTTAATTAATTCACCCCCCTCTAATTAATCCAGCCCACCCTTTAATTAATTCACCACCCCTTTAATTAATTCACCCCCTCTAATTAATCCAGCCCCCTCTAATTAATTCACCTCCCCTTAATTAATTCACCCCCCCTTTAATTAATTCACCCCCCTCTAATTAATCCAGCCCACCCTTTAATTCACCCCCCCTTTAATTAATTCACCCCCCGCCCCCTTTAATTAATTCAGTCCCAGACATAAAATATCTAGCGGTACTCACATTTCAAAGTTTCCTTGCCGAGTCCGACCACTGGGAGCCTCACCGCCCGGAAATGGATCCTTCCGCTGAAGATCCGTGAAGGCAGACTGATGGCGCTGCAAAATGTCGTCATCACGTTGCGCGACGCTCCTCCTACAGCAGAAGAAGGAAGTCTCGCCGCAAAGGTACAATGCCTAGGTCTTATTTTCGGGGTAGGGCTTATATTGCAGCCCACCCCGAAAATCCGACTAGGGCTTATTTTCGGGGTAGGGTTTATTTTCGGGGAAACACGGTAGAAGTTTCTCTGAAATGCTATGTTTGCATCTGAAGGGTTAAAACCTGAGGGACATGGCACCCAGACCACTTAATTGAGCTGAAGTGGTCTGGGTGACTATAGTGTCCCTTTAAACAATGTGCTTGTGTAACTTACTTACAAATATAAAACGTTAATAGCATATGTGTCACACTAAAGCATTTCTATAGAGAAGTCTGATAAAGTGGTCAATACCTGTATGAAATCCCTTGCTGTGTGGCTGTTACATCCTATGGTAATGATACCTTAACATCATAAGGATTCAAGTATATATTTTTTTTGGATAACTTGTATACAGGGCCGGCGCTTCCTATAAGGCGAACTAGGCAGCCACCTAGGGCGCCATATAGGAGGGGGCGCCCTGCGCCCCCATCCCCGGCCCTTTAAATGCCACAGCCGCCTGAGCGCTCTATAGAGAGCGCTCAGACGGCTGCCGCACTGCCTCACCTGCCCTGCTGTAGCGTGGCTGAGCTCCTTTCCGGTCCGCGACCCAGCCGGACTGACAGGAAGTGCACACTGAGTGTGCACTTCCTGTCAGTCCCGCCGGGTCACGGACCGGATAGGAGCTCGGCCACTCTACAGGGAAGGGGAGGTGAGGAGATGATTACACGGGGGGGGGAGAGATTATAGGGGAGGGGAGAAGATTATAGGGGAGGGGAGAAAAGAAAAAGATTACAGGGAGGGAAGAAGAAAAAAGATTACAGGGAGGGAGTGGGGGAGAAGAAGAGAAGATTACAGGGGGAGGGGAGAAGATTACAGGGAGGGGGGAGGAGAAGAGAAGATTACAGGGGGGAGAAGAAGAGATTACAGGGACGGGGGGAGAAAAAGAAGACAGGGACGGGGGAGAAGAAGAGGAGAACACAGGGAGGGGGGAATAAGAGGAGAACATGGGGGGTGGGAGATGAGAACGTAGGGGAGGCAGAGACCACTAAAGGAGGGAGGGGGCAGTGGAGAGACCACTAGGGGAGGGGTGTGAGGAGAGACCACTAAGGGAGGGGGGTGGAGGATAGACCACTAAGGGAGGTGGGGGGGAGAGGAGAGACCACTAAAGGGCAGGGGAGATCTCTGAGGAATGGAAGGGAGAGCTCTATAGGACAGGGAGCTCTTTCACACCACGCGCACACACACACACACACACACACTGCATCCCTATACACACAGAAACACAACATTTTTCCCTTACACAGAGAAACACACAATGCAACCCTTACACATATACACAGAAACACACAATGCATCCCTTACACACACATGCAAACACACACTGCTTCTCTTACACACACTCAACGCACCCCTTACATACAGACACACACTTTGCATCCCTTATGCATACAAACACAGATTCACACAATGCATCCCTTACACACAACAAGAAACACACAATACATCCCTTATACACAAACACTCACTGCTTTCTATCCCTTACACAAACAACACTGCATCACCTACACAAACTGGTATCCTATACACTACATTCCGTAAGCACACACATTAGATCCTCTACAGTAACACATAACACATCCCCTACACACTCTACTCCCTGTGAGCGAACTCATGGGTGGAACATGTAGGTGGACTTATGGGTGGGCTTTATGGGCATACTCACCGTCGGGCCCTGGGGCCCAGACCTTGAGCTATGTAAGAGGCCCCAAAAAATGGAGCTGCTTCCCGTTCTCCCAGAACATTGAATTTTGTGACCACAGTTACAAGCAGCCTCCAGAGATCCTGTTCTACACCAGACCAGTGGAGCCAGACTGCAGCCAGAGCCCATCACCATCCTCATCTGATTGTAAGTAGGCAATCTAGTATATTATTAGTGACACTAATCTTTAATTTACCTCACATTAAATGGACACTATAGTCCCCAGAACCACTGCAGCTTAATAAAGTTGTTCTGGTGTCTATAGTTTGTCCCTGCAGGCTTTTTAATGTAAACACACACTGTGTGCAGCACTGGCACTAGTTCATATGGCAGATCATATGGGTGGGGCATTGCGATGTCCCGGGTGGGGGGGGGTGGGCGGCAAATCTTTCTTTTGCCTAGGGCAGCAAAGATCCTTGCACCGGCCCTGGTTGTAAATTAGTGAACCACCCAAAAGAAGTTGTATATACTCAATAATAAATAGGCACAAATAGGAAAAAAAAGCCAGGACAACAGTCTAAAATGTAAACACTTTTTATACACAACCCCAAAAAACGCATACATATTTAGAAACACTTCGCACCAACGAATCTATTTTCCATTCACCAGATTGAAAATGTATAACAAATGAAAAATTTAACAAAACAAAACAAAAAAATATTAAAGTGTAATGAAACAAAGTGAAAATGGTTTACTTATAAATGTTTTAATCAGAATTTTTTTTTCATTTTATGAACAGCATTCATTTGGCCAAACATCTACATAATTATATCCTACTGTATATAAAGTGGGAATGTATCAAGTATATATTATGAAAGTGCAAATAACATTACAAGGTTACAGTAACTTTTTATATTATAAAATAACCAGTTTAACAAAATTGACAGAAAGGTTGCCAAATTTTGATTTGTGAATTGAAAATTCTTTCGCTGTTGTATGTTCTTTTTTGTTTCTACCAGGAACACCAGGCTGTTCTAGGCTTTGCAATGGACTGAAGCAGTACAGAAAACAATACCACAAAACTTAAAACAAGGTACATTCGGTGTGAGCCAACGCAATTCACAATCGTCACACAGAGCATTGTGATTATACACTATGCAGGTTTCTACTTGCACAATTTGTTAAGGTTTCTCTTCTGCAGTATTACATTAAATTCAACAACCCATTTTTCTTTCTTATCGGAATAAACGAAAACAAGAATTCAATTTATTAGCTAAAAAAATAAGTAAAAGTAATTCACAGAGAGCAACTGTAAGGTTCTAGCGTTTTATATTAGTTTCCAAGAGAAAATCTTGACTTTTGAAAGAGACATAAGAGGTTCACATGAAAGTTTTTTTTTTTTTTTTAAATGATCGACAGATTGAAATGATGTAGATTAACTGTAACCAAGAGCATAGCAACAAACAAAATAAAAATAAAAAATAATTTTGCAACTGCATTAGAGTCTATGGAAATAAAGAGTTACTAAATGGTACCATACAGTAAACATTTCTTAAAAGTCACACAGTTATGAGTCTGGAAGATTATAAAGACCGAGTTTTTAGGCAAAGGGAGTAAGGAACATTATTCTAAACTACATTTGTTGAGCTATCCACACATTTTTGTTTTCACATACATATTCATATTCAGTATCAAAGCTTTGATCAAACCTGTAAGACACCCGCAAGCACTTAAGAGTCCATTTTCTTTCAATTCAGATTTATTTTAAAGTTGATCATTTGAGCATAAACCTAATCGTCTAAGAAAGTAGTTATAATGGATATTGAAGACTTTATTGACAGTAAAGCGATTTAAATAGCACAAGCTGCAGATGAGTGTGTGTTTTCTTCGAGGAAAACTTGCATTTTTACTTTTTTTTTTTTTTTACCTATTCTAAAACAGCAATCACACAGCATATAGATCCTGTGCAGTCTCATAGAACAGCATTGTTTACTAGTTACCTGCAGTTGCATGTCAATATTGAGGTTTCAGATTTGCGGTTAGTAAAAGCAAGGCCGTGGGTGGTTTATGGAGGTTGGTACACATCCCGTGGCAAGATTACTCCAGAACAAAAACTATTTAGGTGTCTATAAGTTGCTACTGATAAAAAAAATAGACAAAGGCACGGCACCATGATGTGCAGTTACGTTTAGATTTATAGCTAAAATGTTATTAATCTGGAGGGTTTAGCTGGGAGCCTGCATTTCTGAATGCACGGTTTTCTTGGTATACTGGTATAGAAACCTGGCTTGTGTTTGGTCAGTTATAGATTTACGGCTGCTTTTAGCCTTTAACTCCCAGTGGACTCAGACAGCCAGCTGGCAGAGGGCACAGGAGTTGTAGGTTTGAAACAGGTGGATGGCAAGGCTTTCATGTCTGCCCAATCTTAATTTAGTAACTTAAAAGAACAGAAAATATGTACTACTTCAGACAGCATCATCTCCTAGCAATTACCAGTACACAAATGTTCCAGTGGGAGGTGAAATGTTGTCATTATGCAGATTGTAGTCTCCAAAACTGCATGTGCCGCCTGGTTTGACATTGATTTGTGGATGTATACAAGCAGGAAATTTTCCAATTTGCCAAATTGCATTCTGAAAGCCAGTGAGGTTGGGCAAAAAAGGTACAAATTGTATCATGTTTTGTAGAGAATTTTGCAATTCTCAACTGTTCAGGATCAAATTAATAATAATAAAAAAAAGGTTCTGCACAATGTCTATATTGGCATTTACTAAGCTTATTATATGCAAACCATGAGTGTCAGGTTGGTTTGCAATGTATTTAGAAGCACCTAACTATTACAGCAAAAACGGTGTTGCTTACACTTCTGGCACTTAAAAAATATAGATGAAGCTGTCTCCTACTAAATACATTTTTTGGTATACATAAATATATATATATATATATACACACACACACACACACACACACACACACACACACACACACTAGGTTCACCATCCCTTTGTTTCCCCCAAACATCAATCTGTTTAATAACTCGTTTGAAAATAAAAGTTACCAAACCTACAATTAAAAATACACTATATTTAGTGTCTGTAGCTGAGTCTATTTAACTTTTTTTGGCACATGGACAGATTATATATATTTATTGTATTTGTGTGGACTTCCAGGAGTTATTTTTGTGTGACAATACTTTAAATGTCTACAGGGACATTACCACAATAAATGTTTATTATACCATTCTATTTCATTTTTATGGATGTCTAAATAATTGTAGTATGTAGCGGTCAGATGTATTCTCATTGTAATGTTTGTAAAGCTATATAAATCATATCGATCATATTACTGTACACACTGGGTAATCAGTTTCAACTCTATAAGAAATTTGGGTTGAAGTGGAGCTGTCACTTTAGAGTTGTAAGGCCTCATTTTGTACTCTTGCAAGATTACAACATTAATGTAGATCCTGACACCTGAAGGTAAAGAGGGAGCACATCGGAACGTCTTCCCTCCAACTCCGAGGTGTCATCGTATATGTGGTCATGTCACCTGTTGGTGCCACTAAAACCACTTAAAGAAACACTAATGGAAATAAACCCAAGCAACAATTATTTTGTAATTTATAAATCCATTGCACGGCATGGTTCTTAAAGGAGAGCAAATTAGATAAATCTTTTCTCAATCTTCATACATAACCACCATTGTGTTTATAAGTTGCCAACCCATCTTCTACTAACTCGCTATAATTTAAAAGGACTAGTGTGGATCCCACAACCTATTCATTTTATAATAATTTTACCCTGGGGTAGGATTCCCAAGGCTCTGATCAGATTTCTCCTACCTGGTTCCGGTTCCCCCCAGTGAAACTCTGACACGGTTACTCACAAAAGTTCGAAAAGTTGAAGATTCCAACGGAATTCAAAGACTATTTCAAATCTAAGGCTAAAAGAGCTGAATTAGAAAA